AATAAAGGACGTGCAAATAAGTTCAAGATCAATAAATTTATGCCCGCCTCCCACGCGATAAATAAATAAATTTTTGTTATATATGCAAGCTAGTTCTGTATTTCATCGATTGTTCAAGGAGAAGGCATCAAGGAAGGAACCTACCTGAACATGATGATAATACAACCTACTCAGTCAGAAAATAATTCTTTTTTTTATTTGGACAATCCCACACTCACCAGCAATTTCTCTGGTGAATCACTGTCTAAAACGGAGTACGTGTATACAGTATTGAAGAAAGAAAAACAATCTGGTCACTTCCCCACCGCCCCCTCGCATCCGTTCCCCATTCTCCCATGGTCGCCCCCTGCTCTTCCTCCCCTCAATGTCGAATCCGGCCGCGGAAGTGGCCGCGTCGGATTCGGGCGCGGAGGCGTGGGACTCGCACACCCCTGCTCTTCCCTGCTCCTTCATCGAATCCGGTCGCCGAAGTGACCGAGGCGGTGCTCGAGCTCGGCATGCTCGCCGGGGATGCCGGGGTCCTCCCTCCTCCTGATGCTGTCGCCGTCGCTGCCGCCGCCATGAGCCTCTCCACCCTCTCCCGCGCTCGTCCCAGTCCAGGTTAGTCTATCTCTTCGACCCCGCCGGTTGCTCCTCCCCGTCAATTCGGATCGTCAACAGGTGCATTACCTCCCTCCGTGCAATGCTCGGACCCCTAGGGTTATCTGCTCGGGGGCCATGGCGTGTTCCGCGCGGTGCTGCCTTCGCCGCCGCCGCCGCCCGGCGATGTGGGCGCTGCCGCGCTGGGTTGTGTCTCCTGCGTCGCTGCCTGACTTCCGGTCTGGGGAGACTGGCTTCATGATGCTTTTTGGGCAGGGTAATATAGACTCTGTCATGAGCATCATTATTGGGAGCTCCATCACCATCCTGTTGTTCCACTCGGTATGTTTGAAAATAAACATCTGGAGCAGAACCGACATTTGCATTAATAAAAGTTCAAATAGAGACCATATTACTAATATTATATTGTAGTGGTTTCTCATGACAGCAACAATAAACCTGCTTGGGCGAAGATCCTAGCTTCTTCATCATGGTCTATGTCTCCATTTTTTTCTCCTTGGTTCCCGTCTCCCAAGCATTCTATTTGTGAACATTGAATAATAGTGTGTTAGGAGTAGTAAATGATGCCCATTTGATGTTATGCATAGTGGGGAGATGAATCTAAAAATGACATTATGCAGACCATCAATGTTTATTGTGTGCACATCGGGCTCCAGCAGTCCGTATGCATCTTTGGCGTGGTCGTTGGCTGAAAACATTTTTTTGGCACAAAAGAGTAAGCAGCAGAGATGTAGATTTTTTATGTACAGGGTGGTACCACCAAAAGTACCAATTTGATGATGAGTGTTTTGACCTGCAGAGAAGAATAAACACCACATAATTTAGCACCATTAATAGATCGGACAACTAACCCTTTTTTTAGAAGACTCTTCTGGCATATGTAGGTTGTCGATTGCATTGAGTTGGGGGTTCTCATCTAGTGACATTTGTGTGGGTGTCAGCTGTCTTGACTTCCGTTGCATCTGGTACGCATCATTTCTGTGCAACCAATCGGACTCATCGTCCACATTGTCTCTGTTCAAATGAAAGGAATTTGGTACTGCACCCCCTGCACTTGTTATGTTCCGCGGTTGTGTGACTGCAGATTGTCCGGTAGCCGACACTTGTGTTACAATGGTACTGCCATCAAGGACGGCGGCAATATCCTTATTTTGCTCGCGGGTTTGTCGCTGTCGCTTTAATATTTCCTCTCTATTTCGTGCATACCGCTCCCTTTCAATCCGATTCTTAATCTCATTACGACCTGAGTAGATGAATAGATCATTATATATAGCAATATAACTGGGCCATGTAGGAATAAGTTCATCTTCATTACTTTGTGATATAGCCGTTGGTGTTTGTGCCCCACTGATCTCAGCAGAGGCAATTTTCTTCTGTTTGTAGGTCTCACGTCGTTTCTTATTAATCTCATCCTTATTTTGTGCATACCGCTCTCTATCCCTCTGCCTTTTTAATTCTTTAGGGTCTGCAATGAATGGCACAATTCAGCAGTTGGGGTACAAAAACTGTAATTGGGTTCTTGTGTAATGCTCATCACCCAAGGATTGGTTGTTGCTTATATCCTGGAATGGGGTGTGCGCCCCGTTGGGACTGGTCGGGGCCATACGAAGTCCTTCAACCCTGTGAATGTCAAGAATGTTATCACACAATTGTAACTGAAGGAATAGTATTACCACAACTCAGACAGAGTACTGTTTTATGTTCAAATCCATCCGAATGTTTAGCATGAAAGCTTTCTTAAGAGTACTCAGCAACCAATTGGATTCCTTTTGCATTAATAAACCTGCAATAATGCTTCGAGATGTAGTACATTTTAATGCTATTCATGTAGGTGTATCTCAAGTGAGTTTATGTGTGTTAGGTGGGGTCAGTACAATGCTCATTTGAGCAGGATTCATGGAAGGACGTCAGATTTAGGTTAGGTACGGTCAAGAGGGATCATGTTAGCATATGGATCACATGATGGATCACATGATGGATCACGTTTTTCATACATTTTCCTTGTTTTTTGTAATTTCATTCAATCAAAACAATTGATGGATCACATGAACAGGTCGACAAAGGAGTATGCATTTGTCGAGCAGTTCGTCCGTGCAGTACAGTCTGGGCGGAGGAGTCTTCTAGCCTTTTGAAATTCAGATCAGTGAAGACCATGCATCTATGTCGGCGAGGCGGAGCTGTATAAGCCTTTTGAAATTCAGATCAGAGAAAAGCATGCACCTATGTCGGCGAGGAGGAGCTCCTCGTCGCTGCCGTGGGAGGGCGCCCGTGCCCCGTGCGGTCGCACCTGTGTTGGGGAACAACGCGTCGTCGTGGCCGTCGTGGACTGACTCGGCGAGCTCGTCGTCGCGACCGTCGTTGGGTGCCTCGGCGGCTGCGCAGGGCAGCGAAGGGGATTGATTCCCGCTAATTTAGCTCCGTGTAAATTGGGCTGGACGTGTGTTGTTACCTTGTGTTGTAATTTTTTTTTGAGAAAAAGGACGTGGGTTGTTCGTGCGGGTGTGGGTTGCTTGTGCGGGCGTGGACGGCAGAGTTTTCGTCCGCCTCCTGCTGAAGTTTTCTTGTTTAATAGTAGTGTAGATACATAAAACATTGCCTTAATTTCTAAAAGGGCAAGTTAACATCACATAGTAAAATTTATAATGCGTGGGGACGACCAATCCAAGGTCTCTTGATGTTCCGGATGTTTTTATATTAACTACATTCTATTTTTTTTAACCTAATGCATAACTTCCCATTTGAATCAAAGGAAGAGATTCTAGATTAGTGGATGAGATGATAAAATAATATGAAAAATTATAATCAACAAACATTTTATGCTCTTTGAAGATTAAAATAATGACATGAATTTAAATACTAACATACACTAGAAACTACTACTAAGATATATTTTTTGTTTGTACTACCTCTGTTCCAAAATAGTTGAAGTTCTGAGATTTTTCAAAGTCAAACTTGTTTAAGTTTGACCAACTCTACTGGAAAATATATTAACATCTAGAACACCAAATTAGTCTCACAAGATTCTTTATGAAGTATATTTTAGTAATATGTGTATTTGGTGTTATAGATCTTAGCATATTTTCCTATACAAACCTAGAACTTCAATTGTTTTGGAACAGAGGGAGTTTGATTTAAATTATCTACCATGATATTTAATAAAATTAAATTTGTATACATACACACATAGACATGAAAATTTGTGTATACTATATGATTTATGTATTTCAAAAGTTAATTCAAAAGAGTTTTTAACAACTAAAAGAATTATTGTTACATCATACATTTTTATTTTGACAGGTTTTTCCAATGATATAATTTGCAATTTTATGACAAGGAATATTATAACTATTGTGTGGCAATATTGTTACGTGGCTACTATAATAGCTAATTAATAAAATTTATACACATTAAAACTATAATATGTTAAATTAATTTAAATAATAATAAAAGTTTGGTACAAAAATATTTGATTTCCAATTTAAACTCAAATGCCTCTACGAACTCAGAATTAAAATCGACTACTTTCTGTTTCCTGATGGCAGTCGGCATCTTTAGTTTTGTCACATGTGAAACTGATAGATCGGATTTAGTATGACCCAATGTGCGAAATAATATTAGATTCATTGGTCTTGAGTGAGTTAAATGGATAAACATTGTGCAAATTTTTAGTTTGTGATTAATCTGGGTTTAAATATTACTGACTTGGGGACTACGTGTTGCGGAAGACTTTGTTTTAAGAGAAGCATATAGCTGACGGTGTCACAAATAATTAGTTTCATTCATCATGTTTTATCACAGATGTTAAATTTCTCTGCTTATATCAGTAGTCATATAATAAATATTTCATATTTCTTTTATATCCTTCAACCGTAGTGTTGAATTGGATGGTTCTTTGCGATGAGTTATCAATTTTTTTTCTATTAAAGTGAATTAGCAATATTTGTTTCTTAGTTAACTGAAATATTTACATCTTTGTTAAGTAGGAGTGAGAGAGAAATCTTATGTCTTTTTCTGAGAAAAAAACCCTTATTATAGAACATAAAAAAAATTATGTGCCTCTGCCTCTTCTTTTAACCTGTGGGAAGGACCAGTCCATATAGACCCATATTACAGCCCAGGCGATTAACCCAGCCGCGTCCGGCCCAGCTATATTCATATCTCCACCTGTCACCCTCGGGGGCCGTGCTACTAGGGTTCAAGGCCCTCGACGTGCCAAGTCAGCCGCTTAAACAAACAGTCTCACAGCGAGACGAAGCCACGGCCCGCGGCCTGGCCACGTGGCCCGCTCCCGGTCCAGTCTCCACGAACACCGGAACCGAGCGAATCCTCCTCTTCCTTCTCCTCTTTCTCCCCCCTCGCGCGCCGGGATTCTCCTCCCTCCCACCCACGGCGCCGCAAAAATGGCCTCGCGCGGAGGAGCCGGCGGCGAGGCGGCGGGGGCGGAGGCGGCGAGGAGGGGCGTAGGCGTCGGCGTTGGGGGAGGGAGAGGGATGCGGCTGTTCTCGCCGGAGTACTACGCCCTGTGCTTCGGCGGCGGGATGCTGGCGGCCGGCGCAACCCACCTCGCCATCACCCCGCTCGACGTCCTCAAGGTCAACATGCAGGTACGCGTGCGCTCGCCGCCGTATGATGCCCGTTGGGAACCCTGCGCGGAGGGGGAATGCCTGTGGGTTCGGTAATTAGGATTATTCTAGCTGGCGAGAGGGAGAAATGGTGCTCTCTCGAGGTCGAATTACAGCGTGCTCGATGCAGCCGAGGATTCTTCCTGTGTGGGCGATCTCGTGCGAGCTCTGACCTAGTATTTCAGTGTAGCAGGCCATATATAGCTTGTATAAACTTGGTAACTTTTTAGCTCCTGGCTGAAACTGCTCCTTTGGAGAGGCATGGCCATGACCATGTTTGCCTGCTCGTATAACGAATTATTACTCGGCAACGGTAGAAGAAACATCAGAAGCTGGGGGATCATGTCAGATTGGACACGAACGAGTGTATTGTAGCTGGAACTGAAGACATGTCCCTTTGTTGGTCTTAAAAAACAAGGCCCTTATGTGTATCTTGTATGGAGACCTGTAATAATACTGCTATCTCCACTTTAATTAATGCCTTGCGGTTTTCTGATGCCTCACAAATTATCCTACGAATGCCTTCGGCTTTATAATTGTTCCTTTTATCTGTTTTTGGTCAGGTGAATCCAGTTAAGTATAACACTATATGTTCAGGACTGAGTTCTCTTGTAAGAGAAGAGGGTGCTTCGTCGCTTTGGAGAGGCTGGGGAGGGAAGCTATTCGGCTACGGCGCGCAGGGTGGCTGCAAGTTTGGCCTCTACGAGTTTTTCAAGAAGCAGTATTCTGATGCGCTGGTGGACAGCAACAGGAGCACAGTTTACTTTCTTAGCAGCGCCTCTGCTCAGATCATAGCTGATGTTGCCCTCTGCCCCTTTGAATCGGTGAAAGTCCGTGTGCAGACACAGCCCATGTTTGCAAAAGGTTTGGTCGATGGCTTTCCAAGGGTGTATGCCGCTGAAGGCTTGTCTGGGTAAGCTTCCTTTGTATTATTCTTAGGTTCATTAGATTCACTATTGGTATGCCTGGACATACGATCTTTAGTCTTCCTGAGTTCTGAATTTATGGAAAGTGCATTTCTTGTTTATTGCAGATTTTACAGGGGGCTTTTACCGCTTTGGGGACGAAATCTTCCATGTAATAACTCCCCCTGTTTTGCATATTAATTGTTTGCAAAGTCCTACTGTGCCAATTAAAGTAACTTATCAGGAAGTTATCAGTGTGTTAATTTTCCCGCATAGAAGATAAATCTAGTTAGATATATGGTGTAGGTATGTTCTTCTAAAAATAGTTGTAGCTATGCAGTATTAGAGTGAATTAAATCTTGCTTGGTTCCTGATTTTATCAGAATGAATTTAAAGGTTCTCCCTCTGTAAAGAAGTGTAAGACCGTTTAGCACACTAAACACTAAAGTAGTGAGCTAAACGGTCTCACATTTCTTTACAGAGGGAGTACTTGTTGCTTGAACTGTAAAAAGGGACTCCATGAGTTAAGTGTGAGAGGCAAACACAGGTTGCATTTATATCAGAATAGTGTCCACCTTTTGTCTTGTGGTGGTCATTTGTGCTACTCGGTGAGCTAGGAACAATGATAGTCAGTTTGCTTCTGATACATGGAAAGTTATCTTTATGTTATAATTGAACCTTTCCCCAAGTTAATTAGTCCATTAGTGCATCACCTTTTTTCTGACATGTACAGGTTCATCTTATCCTAAATTTTATTTTTCCTGCAGTTTCTATGATAATGTTTTCGTCATTTGAGCATACCGTGGGCTTCCTATACCAGAAAGTCATTCAAAAGAAGAAACAGGATTGTTCAACAGCACAGCAGCTTGGCGCTACATGCCTGGCTGGATATATTTCTGGTGCTGTTGGTACTGTTGTTTCAAATCCTGCAGATAACATCGTTTCTTCTCTGTACAACAAAAAGGCTAAAAACATTATACATGTAAGGATGCGACTCTACCTGTCCAGCCCACAAATTAGTTAATTTCAAGTCTTGACACTCTGTTCCTTTAATAATCACATTGTATCCCTTTCAGGCTATAAAAAGCATTGGACTGCGTGGGCTGTTCACAAGAAGCCTGCCCATTCGAATTACCCTTGTAGGGCCTGTCGTGACCATGCAATGGTTCTTCTACGATACCATTAAGATATTTACTGGATTGTAAGTGTGCACTTCGATGGCTGGAATAATTTCCTTATCTTATCTACAGACTGTATTTTCTGCTGTTGGTAGCTCTTATTTACAAACTGTATTTTCTGTTGTACATTCTTGAAAGCTCTCGTCATGACTGTTGATCTGTTTATTTCAGGCCACCCAGTGGAGGGCTTCCTCGTGATCTGGAAAAAGTTGACAGATAATGTGACCTGTTCTACAGAAGTCTATCGATACATTTTTTGGTTTCTCAGAGGCACTCGGAAGTATTTTACCCACAGTTCTGAGTTCTTGATGATCATAACGAGTTTGAGTGATTTGTAGTTGTAGGGAACAGTAGCTAACTGAACCATATGAAGGATTTGTATGTTCTAGATGCATCTTAGACAACCATAAGTCCATGAACTTCAGCACCCCTTTGGCACCTATGTTACAGCCTGGTGTGTTTTCAGGATGCTTTGTAGTATTCCCATGTCGAAGTTTGTTGTGTGAGAAAATGTCATTTTGCCGTGCATGCAAACGATCGGCTATAGATCCATTGTAAATAATGTTGCAGAGGATGAAAACTGGAATCATAATATTATGTGTGATGTTACTGTTCTTTATTTGTTTGTAGTGATCAAATTCCCTTGCAAGTTGTCATTTACACTATATTCTCAGGGGTAAGTAACAATTTGGATACTCTCATTTCTTGTATCATGTACAAAAATACTTGTGTTATATCTGTTAAAAAAATATACTTACAGTATTCTCATCAACACAGGAACAAAATGAGAAGAAAAAACATTGACAGTTTCAACTTCCTGCTACTCCCTCCCTAAAGAAATATAAGAGTGTTTAGATCACTATTTTAGGGATCTAAATGCTCTTATATTTCTTTACAGAGGGAGTACAAGTTAAGTGCAGGAATTCAGTAAATAATTCTGAGGTGTGGAACCTGAAGAAGTGTTTTCAGCTGCAGAGAAACAGAGGAGCTCACCGGCAGCTAGTTGGCTGCGATCTTCACGTCCGGGTTGCGCATCGGCTTGAGCCACATGTCGGCGACCACCCTCGACGACATGCTCCAGAGCACGTCGGTCCCGACCTTCCCCGCTGCGGCCCCCGACGGCCGTCCCTTCTTGCCGGCCTTGCCGAGCCCGTAGGCGACGAGCCAGTGCGTCGCCGTCAGCCTCTGCCTCTCGCCGTCCCACACGCTACGCCGGTCGGCCGTCTTCAGCCGCATGCCCCCGACGTGCATGTTGGCCACCTTGAACCTGGTCTCGCCATCGGCGCCGGTGGCGGCCCGTCCCGCCTGGATTACCACGATGGACGGCGCGCCGACCGCCTCGTACCGGCGCATGGGGTCCCTCAGCTGCGCCACCACCAGCATGGTCGCCGCGTCCGCGCCGGCGCACGCGCTCGCCCACTCCTCCGGCGGCACGGCGGCGTCCAGGGGGTGCCCGCCGTCCGCCGCGTCGGTGACCGGGGACACGTCGAAGGGAGCCTGCTCTTCGGCGGTGCCGGCCTGCACCTTGAGCGCTTCGATGGCCATCGTCTCTATCTTTTGCAGCGAGAATGGCAGGATCTCGTCCACGGTCACCGGCGCCTCATGGGCGTTCCAGATGCCGGTGGCGATCCTCTCCTTGCGCCCGTCGCTCATCGCCGCCGACATTGTCCGGAGCAGAGAGACGGACTCGGCCGCGCTGGAGCTCGCGCCGAGCTCCTTGCTCCGCGCGCTGATGATCGCCGACGCCATGCCCTCGAAGGCGATCTGCTCTGCCGTCTTGCCGACTACCTCGTCGGTCGCGGTGAGTGCACCCAGCTTCGCGCACAGGGCCTCGCATCCGCCGGCGCACAGCCGCTGGAACACCTCCGCGCCGCCGCCGGGGAGCTTCTGGCCGCGGAGGATGAACGGCTTGGACAGTTGCATGGCGAGCTTGGGAAGCTCCTTTCTAACAACCGGGATGTCAAACGGGTTCGTTGCGGCCAGGTAGCCGCCGTCCCGGGTCTGCACGATGGGGCCGAGCCCCTTGCCGAGGTCGGAGATGTAGCAAGCCTCGTCGGCGCCGGTGCCCGGCTTCGCGCTGGACTTGAGCGATGACACCTGAGGAGCGGCCGCTGACTTGCCATTGTCCTCTCCCTGCTCCAGCAGCTGCAGGAACTCTCTGGTGACCTCCTCCTCGTCGGCCTCCAGCCCCTCCACCGCTGCCTCGTCCTCCTGCGGCTCTGCCGGCTTGTCGGCATCCTCTTCCGGCGTGTCGCCGAGCATCAGTGACTCTAGCGCCTTGATCTGGTTGGTGATCGCCTCCAGCTCGTTGAGGCGCCACATGCTCGCGCTGTCGTGCACGACCTCCTTGACCACCTCATCGCCGGCCGCCGGCGTTGTGCCCTCCTCCTCCTCCTCCTTATCCTTGTCTTCTTTCTTGCTGTCGGCGTTCGCTGCGTCCTTCTCTTCTTGCCCCTCCACGCCTTTGTCGACGACATCGAAGTCGAACTCCGGGAACTCCGAGTCATCCACTTTCGCCTCCGGCTCCGGCTCCGGCTCTCTCTTCTGATCCTGCTTGGGCTCGGGCACCGGAGCACTAGGTCCGTCGAGCTTGAAGTCGTCGATGCCACTCAAGTCCTGCGCAGGCGTGCCCTTCGCCGGCGTAAATGACGGCTCCGATCGCGTGACCTTGGGGCTCGTGATGCTAAACGACGTCTTGCTCTGCTTCCGTGCGAACAACGCCGACGAGGTAGAGGAGGAGGCAGCAGTCTTGGTGGCCGGCTGGCTGTACAGCCCGACGCCGCCGTCCTCCATGATCTGGAACGCGAGCGTGACGACGAGCTCGCCGCCTTTGGCCTTGCCGGCGAGCGGGAACGCCATCTGCCACTGCCGGACGCGCTCCCCTTGCTGGCTCTTCTCCGTGGACTCCTTGACGAGGGCGCTCACGTCCACCGTGCTCTGGCCAAGGTCCAGCTCCGGCGCGTCCACGGCGACCACGGACAGGAGGAACGGACGGGGTTCGAACTTCGCCGGAGGCTTGCCGGCGCCCCCGCCGCTGCAGTAGACGTGGCAACGGACGAAGAGCGTCTCCTCGAAGTCCGCCGCCCCCTGCTGCACACGGGACGGCATCGTCTGCACGGCGCCCTCGCGCGACTCCTTCTTGCGTACGGCCACGGCGAGGCGGAGCCCGTCCATGGACGACGGCAGGCCCTGCGCCACCGCCACCTCGACGGAGAAGAGACAGCCGAGGCGGGTCATGCCGATGTGCGACAGCGCGCGCATCGGCTTCCAGCCCCATAACCCCTTCTTCTTCTCCCCGCCGCCCAGCGCCGGGGAGGCCGCGGCGGCGAAGCTCCGGCTCTTGGACGGCGCCGCGGCGCTCAGAACGCCGCGGTCGTCGTCCTCGTCGTCATCCTCCTTCTTCCCCGCCTTTCCCCTCGACCGGAACGGCGAGGTCATGGACATGCGGCGGGTACGCGGGCGCGCGGCCTCTGCCCTGAGCGCCTCCGCCGCTAAGACATCCTCGCCGACGACACCGCGCGGGAGGGCGAGCGACGCGTGGCGGCGGTTGCTGTGCGCCTGGTAGAGCGTGTGGCTGAGCGCGTCGAGCTCCTGGAGGGTCTGGTCGCGGGGCTTGCCGTCGTCGGCCATGGCGGCGGCAACACGCGCTCGTCGACCCGATCACCTCACCGGCAGCGCACCACCTAGCTAGCCAGCAATCAGCTCGTGAAGACGCACGGAGGCGAAGAGGTCACGTGGTGTAGTGTGGTGCAGCTAGAGAGAGTGTGGATAAGCCGAGACAAGAAGGTGAAGTGTGTGGCGGTGGGGCGGGAGGGCGTCGCCATGGCTGGCTGGCGACAGCTTTGGAGGTACTCGGGAGGGGGGAGCGGGTGGCGGAGGAGGGCCGACGTACGGCCGGGCCACCGGCGATTTGAGCTCGTGGTGCTCTCGCGGTCGTTGGTTTCGCGCCAAGAAGCTAAGCTGCGGTGGGGACCAGTTGGCCTGAGTAGCAGCCAACGGATCATGTGATTGGATAAATAGCACCAGATTTTAGAGGATAATGCTCTAAGCTTGTCTTCTTTTTAATCTATCTATATCTATACCAATATAAAAAGACCCAAAGGGCAGATTTAAACCATCTCGACCGTCAAATCATGTTATCGAGCTGTTCAAATCGCTCCAATGTTGAGCACTAAACACGTTTAACGCTCTAAAATTTTTTTTGAGGGAAAGCAGAGCTTTATAAATTAACGGTGCTCGGGCATATCGCCTGAGACACAAACTGCCACTTGGGGCGGTACATCAGAGTTCCAGCTAATGCTGTTATTGGGTAAACACAAACGGCCTATAACTGCTAATTCATGGGCTACAGAGTTTGCTTCTCTTTTACAATGCTGTTATTGGTTAAACACGTTTAACGCTTTAATTACCCACCACTGCCTTGGTTATAAACATGTTTTAACTTAACTCTATCTCATGAAATCTGTCATGTAATTAATATCCTACCATTCCCGCGAAAAAAGTAATTGATATCTTACCAAATACCAACGTGCAACAGATATATCTTACCTAATATAAACGTGCATTGCACGTACATTATTACTAGTATATGAAAAGACCAGATTGCCCCGTTCCGCGCCACCTTTCAACTTAGTAGGATTGGAAAATTTGAATTAGCTACATTTTAAGATGTGACTGTGGAGATGATGTGTGCCAACCACTACTGTTCTGAAGCACATTCTTGCGGCCAATATATCATTCTAAAAAGTTCGTCGAAACCAGAGTGGCAAATGAACCCCAAACAAAGCTTATGATCTCTACATGCTACAACCACAGTGCATTGCATTTCCAGAAAAAACTTTGCAGTGCAGGTGCAGCTTTGAAACTGAAGACGAAAAGGGGAACTAGCACCCAGACACAATGCTTGGCAGACTTTTATTACCTCAACCATCACACAAATTAGAATAGCAAGTACATGAACAACATGTTTTTTATTTTCTGTTATTGCCCAAAAGAACATTTGATACACACAGGTATGAACATATACTCATGCAAGGAAAATGCAGAACAAGGCTGGCACAAAGGAGTACAAGGGCTTCAGTCCAAGCTATTTACTTAGATTTCTCTTGCTCTTCCTTGTCACCGCTTGTTTCGGCAAACCCCCGCCTTTCATCAGCAGACGCGGTGATGACGGGCATCCAGACATCGGCGGTGCTGCTCAGAAGCGATTTCACCTCTGGG